AAAAGCTTTTATTCTCATTCATTTAATGTGTTAGGCTTGAATATTAGGCCAACAATAGGCCCAAAACTCTGGTAGCATAATAACGTCATCTACGACAGCCCACAGGTAAATTGAATGGCGCCAACGAATGGATAATTATTTTAAATTCAATCTTTAATTGTGAAAGCATTAACAATAAATGCTCAAAAAACAAATTTAGCAATGAAAAAGGTGCAAATCTTTCAATTTTTTTCCTAGATTGACTCATAGAGTGAGGCCTTAGGTCAATGTCTTAAGAAATTTAATGTTCGGTATGGTTTTAAATAGGATAAGCTAGCTTGTTTTGCATTTGACATGAAACACTAGCTTTTGTATTAAAAAGCTTATTCCACTTGACATCAAATTAAAGAAAAGGCAAGGGTTTATGCTTTTGATGATTACAAAGGTCTGATTATTGTCTGTGTTGTGCTAATTTAGTTGCATGTGGATGTTAGTATGTACCCATGTCACTGTCCATATGAAAGTACCTCGTCCACACAAGATTGCCCCGTCATGATATATTGATGTGTTCATGTTAACAACAATTAACTCTCATAATTAAACAAGACACAATTGAAACTTGTTGGGTTCTTCTTGTTTTGTCCTCCCCCAGCTCCTCCGGAAATTTTTTTTAAATGTTTTACACTTGAGATTAGGAGTGCGTAAAGCTGAACTAAAATTGAAAATCAAATCAAATTTTTATTATTTAACTTGGTTTGTTTGGTTTTTCAATTCAATTCTTTTTTTAAAAAATATTTTAATTGATCAGTTCAATCCGATTAGTAAAATTTAAAATTAAATAGATCAAACCAACTGAATCATTATACGTATAAATTAATAAATTATATTTAGTTTATTAATTATTACTTTTTTATTTTATTCTTTTTAATTTTATATTTAAATAAAAGAAAATATACAATCTAATAAGTTGTAACCATAACCTCTTATTAAATTTTATATATACAACTTGTCTGTTTTAGTAGAAAAAATAACAAAATTGGCACAAATTTAAATAGTCTAATATGAAATTTAAAATTGAATTAACTGATTGAACTAAATTTTTAAATTTTAATTCGATCATTGTTTGGTTTGATTACCTTATTTGATTTCATTCGGTTCCTATTTTTAATATTATTTGGTTGATCAAACTTTCACATTTTGACATTGAATCAGATCCATCATTGGGAGCAAAATTGTTGCATTGAGACTATGAGTTCCTTGTTTGACATCAACATCAAGTATAAGATAACTTGTATTATTCATAATTTATAAATAATTTTGATTTTTATAAAATTTAGTATACGCAGAATTTTTTTATTGATAATTTTTTTAAAATTTTAGTTCTGAAAATTAGTACTAAAACGGAACAAGACTTTACATATGTGTATTACTTTTTTATTTGGTAATATATATATATATATATATATATTACTAGACAATTTATTACGCGGTGATCCACACGGCAACCCTTTTTTTTTAATGTTTTGTTACTTTTTGTTTTGCAAAATTAGAGAAAAGATTGAAAATATCGTGTTTTAATTAATGAAAATTATGCTAATAAAATAAATAATTAAATTACCCTTTAAACATATTTTTTCATATATATATATATATATATATATTTGCAAAGCTTGTCCTAAAAATTACTCAACAGAATTGTTCTAAAAACATTAAAAAAATGAAACAATTCCTTATATTATTACTTCTTAGCTAACATTTTGGCTGTTATTTAATTTAATTAATACACGAATTTCAAAATCTAAAGAGCTACATATAGTATCTGCGAAAGAAAACTAGCTTGAAATTAAAGCAATGAAAGTGGTAAAATAATATTTCACGTAAATATAATTTTTTTCCTTTGAATAAGATATGGATAACATTACTAAAAAGGAGTATACATCAAGTCTCTCCTATTCTTATCATCATCCACCACTTTTTTACAACAAGGTGAGGGTTGATCATATATAAGTGCAAAATTATTTGGACAATCAAAAGCCTAACTAGCAAGTACATGAGCACAAATATTAACTTGTCTAAAAATAAAATCCAAGGGAATAAAACTATTCATATACAAAAGGAATCTAGCATATTCAATTATATATTTATAAGGGTATAGCTCGATTTCCACAGTCCAATAATCAGGTGAGTCACTTCGGCACAATCCATGTAAGCTCTCACTCCAACATGACCCAAATATGTACAAAGTTCCAGCCGCTGAATTAAGCTCACAATTTCTGTAATCGCAGGTGCCAAGCTGCCCACTGTTGAATTGTAACTTGCCATCCACTCTGCATTGATGTTTCTAATAAATACTCCACCGCAACGACTTGTCATCCTTGTAAGATAATCTATCCGCATCCAAGCGAACCTCCAATTCTTTGGGTCAAACCCAGCTGGTGAGAGCATTCCGTGTAGCCGTAGCCATGGTGTTAGAGTTGCTAACCATTTTCAGATCTCGGGACACACGAAATAAAATATCCACAGGAGAAGAGAGTCTCTCTTGACCATCATTAGAAAACGCTCTAGAGCATCTAAAGCACCACATATATTTCCCAACACATATGGCCAAATAGAATATCCCATGGAACACTCTTAGCATGCAAATTACCAACGTTATTTTTCATGTTCCATAGAATCCATTCGTACCTGATAAACTTTTGAACTTATACCATAGTTTCAAGTTGATCATTATTTTTCCATTTTGCTACCGCATGCGGGTAGTGTAGTCTCTCAACAGGTGCCTAGTATCTTCCTTTGATTCATAACCCAATATGCAAGAGTCTGAGTCTCGGAGGAAAATTTTCTGTATGGTGCTTTCCCTTGGCCATTAGCCAAAGGTGTACTTTTATTTTCTCCAGTCTCGTCCATCTCCAGATTTGTCCAGAGTTTCCCTGTCGATGAAATTGTATCGGCACTAGGAAATTTATTTATTTTTTCCCTTTTTAGCTGTAAGTCAGTAAAAAAGGAAATGCGTACGATTAAAGTCATTTAGCAAATTGATCGGACTTGGTGAGACGATAGAGACATGTCCTTTTGTGCAGCCTTTTGCAGGATGAAATGATACTTCGCAAACGTTGCATGATGCTTCAAATCGGACGTGAAGTTGCCTTCATTCTTTTCTTCTTGTACTTTTTCGCAGAGCATACTTGTGTTCAGCCACCATACATTATTACCATTAATCTTCATCAGATCGACAGTTTATAAATTCACATTAATTAGTAATTACCGCCCCTTCTCTCTAGTCTCTATCTCTTCGCGCGCTTCTTTAATTTATCAGTCACACATACAAACAGAAAATCCTCCACGAAAAGTTAATTAGTCAAATAAAAGAGAACTTAATAATGATATTATAATATACAAAAATTGGAATACGTGAGCATGTCCAAATGTGACACCCAACTTAATATTAAAAGATCGTATCTTGATCAGAGGATTAAAAAAAGAAGACAAAAGAGAAGAAGAATAATTAAGGAAAAATTGCAATAGTAACCTAATAATCTGAAAATGAAGAGGTCAGATTTGTTTTTAGTTGTGGCATTACAAGCAGAAGGAACAATTTGATCTGTGCATTGTTATAATAAAAATGTATAAATTATATTAAATAGGTGCATTATTTGAGAGCAGGGGAATGAATGCAACAGGAAGATCGAGACTTGTTATGACTAACCATATATGGGATGTGGATTAAAATAGCTATTTGGTGAAAGCGAATTGGACAAGAGTGGGCCGGCTATAGCACACCTTCTTTAACTTATTTGCCACCATGTGTTTTTAATCCAGCCCCGCAACAATATTACATTAATCAAAATCATTATCACTACAATACAAGTAAGCGCTAATTAAAAAGCAAGCAACAGTATAATAATCTAAATTAGCTTTATGATCTTTTGATCCATCCAACAACTTATTTCAAAGGGACGTGTATAAATATCTATTAATTAATGCATTGGATTGGAGGGACGTGTAGCATCGTCTATATCTATCTAATGCAGTAGCAAAAAAGAACTTTTATGTTGCTTTTGAGAAGGCGTGCATGGAAATTCCTCTACAAACCATAGTACTTAACCACCGGATCACATTATTCAAATTGAAATTTCCCAGTACAGTTTGAAAATATAGGCTTGAATAATTCAAAGAAAAAAAAAATCTATTGTTGCCTTTGACGAATAATGAAATCTCTATTTGATTCTCCGCATATCATTTCATTAATTTAGTTAATTAATTATTAAAATGTCGCTCTAATAAAAATATAAAATTTTAGTAAGCCGTGCTTAAAACACTTGAACAATACTAAATAGATATCCTTAATTTCTATCTCATTTTAATCCATATATCTATGCTAACTAATAATATGCTGCGTTGAGCGTTATAATTAGTTTCCAAATCTAACCTATATGATGTGTGACAAGTAACATTCAATAATAAGTCAATAAACTACACGGTAATTAAATGTTAGATGAAAGTAAGTTAAAAAAATATTAACATCATAGGAGCATTTTAATGATGCCTACAGTCAATTAAAAATATATATTTTAAAATTAATCACATAATTAAGACTTTTGTCATAACACACACACGTTTTTTTTGGTAAGTATAAGGATCAAGCTCCACAGGAGGCAGGAAATATCTCTCCCAAGGTAATGGCAATAATGGGCAAACCTTTCTTAACTAAATTAGGACATAAATAATGATTAGGTTTTGAATCCTCAACTACTTAATTAAGTGATGAGTCTTTACCACTCACGTCAATTTTAATTGGTTACAGATATATTCTTTTACAACTCTAATAATTATACTGCAGTGCATTGATCAGAAGGACATATGTTAAAAAAAAAAAGTCTAGAGGTTTATTTACTGTACCCAATCTCAAAGTTTTGTCTCCGTACTACTATATCAAGATATATGACATATAAGGACCTTTTGTCTACTATATATACGGCTTCACAAGTCATAGTTCTCAAACTCCTCCTCCTCCCTAGCTACCGCACTTTCATACCCAAAGGGTTTTGCTCTGATGTCGGAAGCGTTTATATGTCCTTAAGCCTCTAAAAATTCAGTTGATAAAGCCCTGGCTTTTCAATCCTCGATCTGCACCTTTATCCTCTTGGCGCGAGTCAAAAAGCTCACTAAAACAATATCCTCTCTCTTCATTCCATCTTCTCTTTTCCCTGTACATATATTGCACTCATCAGTTCTCTTCCATGCACCGATGCACGTCCAGTAAAAATCATAAACCTTACAAGCACTTTTGATCTTGTTTTTCCTCCTCTTCAGAAACCTAAAACCAAGCTAGAGCCATGAAAACTGAGTTAAAAGGAAGCACTACTTCCATTTCCCTCCAATATCCAACTCTCTTCAACGCACCGCACAATAATCCTGATATCTCAGGAGCACTCAAAGGCTGCCTCGGGAGCCTCGATGGAGGTTGTATAGAGAAGCTCTTGCTTCACTGTGCCAGTGCTTTAGAGAGCAACGATGTAACTTTAGCTCAACAAGTCATGTGGGTGCTCAATAATGTCGCTTCTCCAGTTGGCGACACCAACCAAAGGCTCACCTCGTGGTTTCTCAGAGCCTTAATCTCTAGGGCTTCACGAGTCTGCCCCATGAACTTCAACGGGAGAAGCAGTACCATCCAGAGAAGGTTGATGTCCGTGACAGAGCTTGCAGGGTACGTTGATCTTATCCCTTGGCATAGGTTTGGGTTTTGTGCTTCCAATAGTGCTATTCTTAAAGCAATTCATGGATTCCAAAGAGTGCACATACTAGATTTTAGCATTACCCATTGTATGCAGTGGCCTACACTTATAGATGCCTTGGCCAAAAGGCCTGAAGGCCCTCCTGAGGTTAAAATCACAGTGCCTTCTTGTAGGCCATCTGTCCCACCTTTGGTCAATATTTCAATAGAAGAAGTTGGGCTGCGCCTGGGGAATTTTGCTAAGTTCAGGGAGGTCCTTTTTGAGTTTAATGTGATTCGAAGGAGCGCATCTTCTGAATTGAGCAATGTTAATAATGATTCATCCTGCTTTCCCTTTGAGTCATTGTTAAGTCACCTGAATCCCGCTACGTTAAATCTTAGGGAAGACGAAGCTTTGGTGATAAATTGTCAAAATTGGCTACGTTACTTGTCCGATGAAAGAAAGGAGAGTTTCCAAGATGCGTCCCCTAGGGATACTTTCATAAATCTAATTAAAAGTCTTAACCCTAGAATAGTACTATTGGTTGATGAGGATTGTGATCTTAGTGTCCCAAGTCTCACGTCAAGAATCACCACTTGTTTCAACTATTTGTGGATACCCTTTGATGCTTTGGAGACCTTTTTGCCTAAAGACAGCAACCACAGGGTAGAGTATGAATCTGACATAGGCCAGAAAATTGAGAACATCATCAGCTTCGAGGGGGTTCAGAGAATAGAGAGATTAGAAAGTGGGGCGAAAATGTCGCAAAGGATGAAAAACGGAGGCTTCTTCAACGTTCCATTTTGTGAAGAAACCGTGAGAGATGTTAAGGCTTTGCTTGATGAGCATGCTAGTGGATGGGGAATGAAGAGAGAAGAAGATATGTTGGTCCTCACATGGAAAGGCCATAACTCTGTAATCGCCACAGCTTGGGTCCCCAGTGAGTTAAGCGATCATATGGGTGTGGGCTGAGCTGTCTTTATAATAAGGACTTAAACCTCATTTGGTCCCTCCCTATCAATTCACTGATCACTCGATATAAAAGTTTTGTATCATTCTAGTATTCGCACACGTAATTTTGGTTCAATTATTTGAATATTGAAAGTACTAAAGTGATATAAAAAAACTTCTGAATATTGATCAATATACCATGAGGTTTGAGTCCTTAAGCATACTAAATTTACAACAAGAGACAGCAAGAGAAATGGGCCTAGCTAGCATGAGAGGGATTTGAGTTTTGGTTGAGTGGTCCAGGGAGAGAGGCAGAGAAGCGAAATCAGTTAAAGTTGAAGGCTGTATGGAAAGGCTGCAAAATGACCAGCAAGAGACAAGAAAGGAAAAGCGGCTTTCATTTTGATTGTAATTCTCGTCTGCTAGCTACTGCGATGAAGCCGAGGCTGTTAGATCACACGAAAGGCATAAAAGTTAAATGTGCTGATTGTCTTTGTACAAGAGTCAAAACTGTGTCTCTCAGCCAGCCATGCATATACATATATACATATATGTATTCCCCTTTTGATGCAGCTTTTGTTTTCTGCCTTCGAACTCAGTGCAAGAGGTTCTCTTGGTTGCTAAGAAGATCTCTCTTAGTATATTTTGTTTTCTTATTTCAATCTGCAACAGACTCTCATGATTTCCAAACCCTTTTGTTACAGCATCTGCATAAGCGAAGGTCAGGCAAGAGTGCAAGGCCCTCTCACAGATATGCAAGTCAATAAATATATATATCAGAATTCTTTCAAGCCTATATATATATATATATATCATGGAGTGAAACAAGCTTTAATTATACTTAATTTGGTAATCTAAAAGTTTTAATATTTTGTATTTCAAGCATACCTGTGACTCAATTGTCTGATAAGTAATTAAATATATTTACAACTTTCTTTCCAAGTCCATCCATCTTGATTATAATAAAATGTTTACAAAGTAAATGAGGCATTATCCTGAAAAAAAAATTGGGAAAAATATTTTAAGGATCAAATTGAATATTTTGAGTTTTCAATAATCGAAGTTAAAGAAGAGTGATATTCAAGAATCAAGAACAAAATTAATTACAGTTTGCGGTGTAAATCTTTTTTTGCCACCAAATAAAGACAAAAACAGAAAAGAAAGGCAAAAATAATTAGAAAGGACCACCCAATCCTGAATATTGCTTTTTCATGAGAGGTCATATTCAATTCCATACCAGTTTGTATTATTGTGCGTGGACAAATCAGAGAGACATATTGGACATACTAAGCTAACAAGTTCCCCCCAAAAAACAAAAAAAACAAGAAGAAGAAGAAGAAGAAGGGAAACAAAAAGTCCGACCTGCCGGATTCGAACCAGCGGCCTAAGGATATCTGATATGTTACACACTACAGTCCTCCGCTCTGCCAACTGAGCTAAGGTCGGTTGTGAGCAATCTGCCGTAATTTACTTAATAATGATAATTTTCCAACTTTTCGATTTGTGATCCACTGCATTTTTTCATTCTAAGTTAGATGAACAAAATATATGTGATCCTCCTAGTTTACCATCCTATGTGGATGTTGAAAAACTGTGCTGGTCGAAGTTTCTATCCTTCATATTGTTCCCACTAAACACCAGCACTGGAGTTATTTTTCCTAGGACTAATGATCATAACTCTTCACGACTAGACGGTGATTGAATTAATTAATCATCACCACATGAATAAACAAACCTGATATTACTTAATTATATATTGACGCCGTTATCATGTCTCCAAGTTGCTCCTTGATAACCTGTTCACGTTAAAAAACTTACCGTAGAGATACACCGCCTACGTACCTCAAATAAAGGAAGATGCTAATCTAAATTATCATTTAGAGTAATCCTTTTTCTCTTAATTTATCACATGAAATACAAGCTCTAATTGACCCGCTTAGGAAAGATTATATAATCCCATATTGTATATATACCAATTCAACAACCAATTAAAATAATTCATTCCTAATTTCCCAGAAACTAAATTGCTGAACAGTTAGCCAATAAGTTATTTAGGTGGCCTGCTGCAAAAATAGAAAAAAAAATGTATAAATTCAGAATCCAGACAAGGGGAATACTTGTTATATGCCTCGATAATCTTTCTCTGCGTCTGCGTCTCTGACTTATAGTCCGTCCATACATATAATATCCCACTGTCCGATTTTATATGCTTTGTGTTGCTTCTCTTGCACTCTCTGCTTTGTCTCTGTGTCCCATGGTCGAACCGCATCACCTCACCAATCGAAGACTCAACTACAACCACCCCATTTTCTGCCTCACTCTCTTTGTCTCTCTCTAGCTTCGCCCTCTCCTTCCTCTTTGTCTTCTTCTTTCTCTCAGAATCTGCTCTTTGGTTGCACTGCGTCCTTTTTTCTCCTCCTTCCCTCCCCCATATTTTGGCTTCTTTCGCTTTCTATTTATTACGCATCTCCCAAAAAGTTCACTACTCTTGATTTGTGGTGGGTTCGTTTTGGGTTTTCGTTCTTGCTTAAGTCATGGAAGATTGCTGTGATCTTGAAGTCGATATAAATGGACAGGAGACCTTCCTGGTTAACAAAGTAAGCATTTTCTCTGTTTATCAGAACCTCTGCTTCAAATTTTGATTTCGCGTAGGTTTAGGATCTAAGCTATAGTCAGAACCCAGAAACTTCGTCCTTTCAATCTTCTGGTTGATTGTTTATCTACGTGCTACTTGTTGTTGCTAGTAAAGCCAGAAGTGGTTATTGTTCAATGATTTTTTTTTTATATACTGTTCAAGGATTTATTCAATATCCATGCATTCTGCTGTAATTTATCTCTTCTTTCTTCCGTTATCATTTCGTTAGTAACTTTATGATAAAAATTGAAACTTTCTGTCCATCATTAATATGCACCTGCATGACAGTGAAGTGGGGCAATAATTATTTAATTATCATCTCCATTTTTACAAACCGCAAGCTCAGAGGACCTTATTCTTTGTCTGGTTTCTTTCTTTCTTCTTATGTGGTTTATTGTTTTGTTCTTGTTTGCGGCATATCGCATTAAATGCTGGATTTTAATGTTCTCACCTTCATTTGTTTTATTCACTCCTTTTGCGAGTGACTGAGGGTTGCTTTCGGGGTCATTTATTTCTCTTCTATACGCTTCTATGCTAGATTATTAGTTGATGGAGATCCTTCTGTCTCTCTCTAATGCACAATTTATTGTTCATAACAACCCCTGTATCACCGGTCCACTCTTTTGCAGCAACTTTCCTTTTTCCTTAATTTTTTTTCTCGTCTCTCTCTGCCGGTTTAATTCGATGCTAGATTTCCCCTTTCATGTGTAGATAGAGAAAAAAAAAATTGTAGATGTTTTCTTTCGTGAGAGAATCTCTTTTGTCATCTAACTCTGTTTCACATTTTAAATGGGTGCTTGCAGAATATTGTTGCTCACTATTCTAGCAAATTCATTAAATTATTTGGGAAAAATACCGGTCCTAATAGAAAGCTTAAAGTAATATTCCATGACTTTCCAGGAGGGGCATCAGGTTTTGAGCTTGTATTGAGATTTTGTTACAACAACGGAAAATATGGCATAACTCCTTTCAATTTGTTCCTTGCACACTCTGCTGCAAAATTCATGGAAATGAAAGAGTCCGTTGATGGGAAGAGTCCTAATTTGTTGGAGCAAACAGAAAAATCACTCCAAGAGATTGGCTACTGGACATGGTCCAACCTTTTAGCAGCCTTGAAACAGTGCCAAGATTTCACTCTAGTCGCAGGTTGTTCTACTATGATGCTTGAGAAATGCTTGGAATCCATAGTTGGGAGGCTGGTTTTGACCAGCGAAGCGAGCCCATGTCCATCTTCTTGTTCCTCTGAGAGTTCTGGGCATCGATGTTCCAGCGACTCCAAAAGCATTGAGAGTACAAAGACTGCCTTTTCTCGTTCAACATGGTGGTTTGAAGACCTTATGTTTCTCAGTCCCTTGCTGGTTCAAATGCTGGTGAAGTCTATGCTTTGGCGTAAATTGGACCAAGTTATAATCAGCAGGTTTCTGATGTATTACCAGAAGGCAAAGTTTTCTTCTGCCACAACTGATGAGAAGAGGAAGATCATAGAAATGGTCATAGACATGCATTACAGTATGGACCCTAGAGTTCTCTCTTGCAAGACTTTATTTGGGATTCTCCGAATCACCCTCAACTTGAACATAAGCAAATTTAGCAAGAACAAATTGGAGAATATGATTGGCGCCCAGTTGGATCAAGCAACCTTGGACAATTTGCTTGTTCCATCTCCTTATGGAATAAACTACTTATACGACGTGAATCTTGTTCTGAGATTCTTGAAGGCATTCCTGCTTCAAGGGACCCGTCTGATTGCTCCTTCTCGGATGAAGAAAGTTGCGAGCTTTATAGATTTGTATATAGCTGAAATAGCCCCTGATCCTTATTTAAAAACATCCAAGTTCTTGGCTCTTGCCTCAGCACTACCAGATTCTGCAAGAGACTCCTATGATGAACTGTATCATGCAATGGACATGTATCTTGAGGTTAGTTGGTTCATATTTCATTTATTCTTCTCCTGAATTGGTATACGAAGGATTCAAGCTTGTGATGACATTTACAGCTAAACCAATCTTTGGGTTTGTTAGTAGGTCATTTTAATCTTGGAAGTCTCTAATGTCCAATCTGTCAGTGTCATGTGGTTGTCCATTCTATCATTATTGTCTGGAAATACTATTGTGATCTCAAAAGAATGACTTTAAAAATTGAAAAGCCTACTTAAACGTGTTTGACTATAGGTGCACGCGGATTTGTCAGAGGAAGAAAGGCTGAAGATATGCAGTGTTTTAAATTATGAGAAGCTTTCAGCCGAGGCATGCCAGCATCTGTCTCAGAACAGAAAATTCCCTTCAAAATCTGCCGTTAAGGCTCTTATGGTTCAACAATCCAAGCTCAAGAACTTAATTCTCGGCATCCCCAATGCAGCTGCAATCACCATTTCGCCACGTAGTTCCAGTGACACTGACAGAAGAGGAACAAGACACAGAATCAAGGAACAGGCCATGCTGTATACTGGAGAATTTGATGTTCCAGTCCAGGACAAGAAATTCGCAGCAAGCTTGCAAGGAATGAAATGGAGGGTTGCAGAATTGGAGAATATCTGCAGGAAATTGCAAACCCAGATGGCAAAGATAATGAAATCAAGAGTATCGTCAGGCCACGGCTATTCAAGATCATTGCCCAAACTCTGTTCATGACAGAACAATTGCCATGATATAGATTGAGATTTTTCCTATGTAACTTACATGTAGTGTACAGCAAAGGAGTGAGTTCAATTTCGTAGTTTTTCTGAGCTACTGAAGTTGATTAAGTTCAGTGTAAAGTAAAAGATGATTCTGAGCCAAGTGCTTGCATAGTTCCACGTCCCTTCCTCCAACAAATATTCGTAATAAGCAAAGACAGCACATGTTTCAGTAGGGCAATACATTTTAATTAAGTAGGTTCATATTATATGATCAATACACACGTACACAGGACCAGTTGTGAAGGTTTCTTTAGTTGATAGTGCATGGCAATGGTGGGATTCAGAACGACAAATCAAACTTTATTGTTGTTATTATTTTTCTGGGGTCCAAAAGCTCTATCGGCATTATAAAACGTGTGCGTTTATGTGATATACATTTTTGCTGGGTAGTGAGGGAATGGATCATTCAAGTTAGTGGGTCAACCACACCGCCTTGATAAAGCCTTTCCTCTGCACTGAGTTGGGTGATCTCCGGAGAGAAACC